TACATTTATATTTATCATAGGGAGCAAGAAAGAACAAGAACTTACTGATAGTTCAAGATGTGAAAAGTCCTAGATATATGCTTTGCAAAGATAGAAAAAGTTTCAATCTTAAATAATGAATTATTGTGTATTATTTGAAGTTCACAGAAGTCCTTTTGTTAATGTTAAACCCACGTGGGTCCTTTTCTTATTGGTTAGAGTATAATGACTTTACACCTTTTCTTTTATGCTGTTGGTTCAAAGAATACGTAGAAAAAGGCTTTGCATAAGATGCCATCCTGTCTTTGATCTAGATTTGTGTGGATGTTGTCGTTTCTCTGTGTCTCTTGCTTTTTGCTTGTGTGATGCAGACAGGTAATAAATCCTACCTCTGCAACCAGTCAGGGTCCATCCCACTTGTGAGACACAGACCAATCCAGCAATTACAGTATCAGAGAATTGTTAAGGTTGAAAAAAACCCTTAAGATCATTGTGTCCAACCTCTGACACAGCATTGCCAGCTCCACCACTGACCTGTGTCCCCAAGTGCCACATCCACCCAGCTTTTTAATCCCCAGGCATGGTGACTCTACCACTGCACTGGGCAGCTTCTGCCAGGGCTGGACGACCCTTTCAGGGAAGACATTTTTCCCTAATTTTCAACCTAAACCTCCCCTGCACTCCATGTCTTCCTTGTTGTGAGGAGCCCAGAACTGACCCCAGGGTTTGAGGTGTGGCCTCAGCAGTGCCCAGCACAGGGGGATGCTCACTGCCCTGCTCCTGCTGCCGCAGCATTGCTGCTACAGCCCAGGTGCCATCAGCCTTCTCCCGGGTTCGTGTTTAGCTGTGCCCATGTTCTTCCTGTGGGGAGCTTTCCAGTCCCTCTGCCCCAGCCTGTAGCACTGCAGGGAGTTGTGAGCCAAGGACAGAACCCAGCTCTTCACCCTGTAGAACCTCATACAATTGGCCTGGCACATGGATCTGGCCTGTCCTGGTCCCTCTGCAGAGCCCTCCTGCCCTCCAGCAGATGAACATTCCCACCCCACTCAGTGTTCTCTGCCACCTGGCTGAGGGTGCCCTCAGTCCCCTCAGGCCACCCCTTCTCCTTCCCTTTAGCCTGGGTTAGCACTTAGTAGCCAAAGGAAAGGGAGGCACAGGGGAAGTGCCTGAAGTCCTCTCCTCCCCACAGAAGCTCCCTTTCCTCAGTTTGATTTCCAGCAGGTACCTTGCTGCAGGGCCCATAGGCACCAGTGTTGGGCAGTGGCTCCAAGGTTAAGCAAACGAGCAGTGGGACTGTGACAGGTTGCGCTGTGTTTCCAGGACACACAGCCACAGTCTCCATTTTGCATATCTGTATTTCAAGGGTTTCCAGAAAGTCTAAAGGTACATTTTCCAGGAAATTAAGATAATTCAGTTATGATGACAAAATGTTAAAGGTACAACTTGCAGTAAAATCCAGGAGCTCTTCAAAAGCTCCTCCACTCTGTTTTGTGGTTCATGAGGTGATTCATCCCAGAGACCCTGCCTTCCCAAGTGCCTCAGCTCATACAGAAGTTTAAGCCTGTGTCTATGTTGCAACTTCAGCATAAGGGATAATGGTTCCTAATTGTTGAGTAGCACATCAAGTGCAGTAAGTGCTGACCTCTTTCTGCAGCACTGTGCCACAGAAGGAATGGCTTTCGTGTTGAAACCCAATTGGAGTAGCTGTAATGCTTCATGCATCATTTTAATGGCACTCTCAAAAAGCCTGGTATCTTGGTATGTCATTATCTCAGACTCTGCAGTTGTTGTTTCTTATTTAAATGTCCTATCTCACTTGAGATTTAATGTAATTAGAACCAGCCTGTGGAAAAATCTTTTTCTATTATGTCTTAGCTATTGTTCCAGTCAAGATGGTAAAGCAAATCAAACAGGATATAATGAAAATGATAAAACCATTTGCAAGAGGCAGTTTTCCTGAGGGAAGCAAAAGGCAGCACCACTTTTCATTTTGCTTTGTAATTCTAAACATGGCATGGGCCTGGAGTGATTCCATGGAGACTTGTCCAATACACCTGAGAGCACAGACAGGTACAGCTGGCAGGAATCTGCCTCGGCTGATCCAACAGGGAACCAGAAGCAGCACAGCAATAAGCTTCTTCCACTGTTACTGCTGCTGTCCCAGCCTTTTCAGCCAGCACTGGCTCTGCCAGCCAAGGTGTGTGTGAAGGAGCTGGGCCTGCAGTAATGAATGTCTGAGATTGTTATTTGTAACTCAAGCTGCAGTATCCTGGCTGGGGAGGTGCACCCAGGGTGGTGTTTGCAAGGGCACTGGCACCCACAGCCTCAGTGTAATGTGTGTCTGCAGCAGAACTGCTGCTCCTGCTGTGGAAGGAGAGGGACAAGTGTCCAAGGCTTTTCTGGTCTGGCTTGGAGGCCACATCACAGCAAGGCAGGAGCCCTGACTGCTCTCTCTGCTGGGTGATTGCTGAGCAGTTCAGGTGTTACTGCTCCACATCTCTTGGCTTTTCTATTAGGTTTATAATTTGACATCAAAGCTGTTTTGCAATGTATTTTCCCTTTTGTGCACAAGCCACTTGTGAGCAGGCTTTTGTATTGTCAGCACGAGTTACAGAAATCTATATTAATTCTCAGCAGTATTGATAAACTTTAGCTGTGGGAGGCTTTGATCCAGGGCTGCGTGCCATGGACAGAGCTGGACAGGCATGGGATGCTGGCAGGGCTCTCAGTCCTGCTGTTCTGGAGGGGATGCATCAAGTGCCCAGGGGTACAAAGCCTGGCCAGCCAGGCACTGCTGCTGCTCTGCTGCTGGGTTTACCTGGGACTGTGGGCTTTGGAGTGCAGAGTGCAGCCAGCTGAATCTGTCTTCACACAAATGGCAGAAGCAACAAATCATGCTTATTTTTCAAAAGCCAATGATGTAAAAATTCAAAGGATCAAAATGCAAGTAATTCAAATGATTGAAGAAATCATTAGGTTAATACCTGCAAACAATTGTGTATCTTCAGATGTAATGAAAGAAGAAAATCCTGGAACTGGAAAAATTATCTTTTTTTGTAGGTTTCTGAGTTTGGTGCTGACTAATTTATAGATCACCTGTGCACAGGTTTGCCTCTTCTGTTACGTTGCTCTCTTTGGAATTGAAGAACCAGTAGTTTCTTCCTCTGCCTTTCTCCCTGTTCCTTTCTTGTAAAGAAATGATTAAATACTCAGAGTACAAATGCTGCACATGAATATTTATAAGAACTTTTATAACATTTAGCGAGGCAATGCTTCATGGCTGTCTCTTTCTGAATGCACATAAGAAAGTGCCATAATTTCTTCGAAGCCCTGAGTCCTTATTTGCTACTGGGTTGGCAGGAGCTGGAGGCTCCTTGGGGCTGCAGTCACTGATGATGACAAAAAACAGAGATCATTGGGGTGTTTCCTACTTTCCTGTTAAAGAACTTGGCTTGTGTTTAATATCTCATAAGAACACATTTTTCATGCATCATTTACATTTAAGTTGCAGAAAATTGCTAGGTAGGAATCTTGTTACTGGCATTGGATAAATACCTGATTCCTGTGTTGATACTTTGGTCTGGGAAGAAACAAAATTAAATGTCTTTTGCTTGGAATACTGACACTGTGGGACAATTGAGTGGCCCTGGAGCACACTGTGCAAAGCACTTGGAGGGTCCTCCTGTTAATGCAGAAGTGCTTTAGCCTCCACTTCTCTGCATATTGTCTCTCTGGAGTAGGGCATCCTGTGCATACCTAATTGCCTGTGTAATGCCTCAGAGTGTTGTCACACACCCACTTCTAAAAAGCAAATGGAAACTAGTAGCTCTTAATAGCAGATTTTTCCCCTTGACATCCTGAAAGAATTTAGATCAGATCAAGCACAGAGGAAAAAGAAGAAAAGCTTTAGGAATAAGCAAAAAGGAGAGGGGGTTAGAGTTGTGATTTGTTAAAGCTGAAGATAATTTTAGAACTGGGTTTGGAAGTCCTTGCTCATAATCCTGTTATAACCTCTCCCCTTCTCCCTTATAAAATAATTGCCATAAATTGCATGTTCTCATGTCCACAATGTTGCTGCATGAATTGAAGACTTGCAGTGTTTTTTAAAAGCTGGAGTGCACGATGTGGCTGGGAAGTTATTCTGGAGCTTGGCACACCACGCGTGGGTCTGTGTGATGTGCTGGTGAAGTGCCCCCGTGCTGGACCCACTCGGGGCAGAGTGGGAACCACCCCAAGGCCAGGGCTGGTTCTGTGGGCAGAGCCTGTCACCTCCCGTGGATCTGCTCCAGCAGGGGCTGCCTGGCTGTCCCACACCTCCCCACTGGCTTCTGACAGGCTGCTTTCTGCGGGCTGGGCTTTAAACAATCCTCACTTTAACAGCTTTCACTGGGTCAGCTGGCTAAGTTAATTCTGCCTGGAATTCATTAATACTATCATATTTCTATTTTATAATCATATTTTCTCAGTTTTCAGTCCCCTTTTATCTGGTTTACTTCAGCTTTCTGCCTGGGATGTGTGCATCTTCTGTAGATCTCAGTTGGAAGATGTCAGAATATCCCAAGGATCTGATACTTGTGATTTCTTCCCTTTTGTGTCTTTATTTATAAATATGTCTAATTTATACTTCTCTGCTACAGCAGTATGCAAACTATAGAGGTGTATTTTTAAAGAAGGCGTCATTTATGTGACTTGAACCCCTGAACTACTACTGTACTTAATTTTCAGACAGTGATTTTGATCTCCTTCCCAGATGTTTTGGGCACAGTAATTATTAGAATTATTTTCATCATTGGCAAAGGACAATTGAAGGACACTATCAACAATCAATTTTGTTTGCATTTCAATTAAAGCTGTATACTTGTAGCATTACATTTATCACTAGATATTACAATAATAATATTGAAAGACAATAATGCTCTCAGTTGTGCTTTACTTGTGCAAAACTTTTGAACCTGCTGCATGACCTCTGAGCACGTCAGAGTCAGAACTTGGTTACCTCTGTAAGAAAAGTATGTACTCACCTGAGAACTCTTGGAGTGTGTTTAGCAGCAGGTATAATTCAGGATCTTGGGAAAATGCTCCCAAGTTTGCATCTACAAGGAAACAAAGGTATTGTCTACATTGGTGTGAAGCAGCTCGTCAAATCCACCTAAACAAATTAAAAAACCTGTAGTCCTTGGATAATAATATCTACAAGAGTTTTCATATCGTATTTTTCATAGGGAAGATTGAAATTAGACTTCCAAAAAAATTAGTATGACAGCTCTTCCTAATTTATTTATTTGCACTGAATTTTTAGTAAAAATGAAGTGTGCACCAGGGAATGTATAGGCATAGCAAGTGGTAAAATTCCAGGGACCTTTACTTTCATTTGTCTCTGATTCCTGGCATATTCAAGGTTTGTGGAGTTTTGAGGCAGAATTTATTTTATTACTACTACAGAGCCTCAGACTGAAATCTTCCATCACACCCTGTGAGACAAAGGCCTTGACTCAAGCAGAGAACTTGCTGCTGGAGCTTGGTGTGTGACTGCAGCCCAGTGCCTGCTGGAATTGCTGGAATTGCTGCCACGGAGGGGGATGAGGGATCTGCCTGCTCCTCCTTCAGCTCAGGCATTAATGATGCTGCTGCCTCACTTCAGCAGGCAGCCATCTCATTATCTCTGGGAAGTCTCCTCTGCCCTTTTCCTTTCCCGTTCTTCTTTCTCCAAGTTTAGCAAGTAATTAAAAGAGTACAGTGGCTGAGGAGTGAAAACGGAATTTTTCCAAATGCTGTTCCTTGTAAAATGTAATACATCACCCACACATCCCAGGGCAGTGATTGAAGATCTCCTCACATTTGTCTTACTTGAGATTTAAGCAAAATCATCTGCTGAGCATTTCGGTCTATCCATGTGCATTACAATCCATCCAGGCTCCCTGAAAAGAAAAATGGGAAAATAAGACATGGTTAATGTCCCGGGCTTTATGTGGAGAGAAGAGATTTAACTGGGGCATTAGAGACAGAGGCTCCAGTCTATCTCCTGACTGAGAGCTAATTAGCATTGTGAGCCTGTCCTTTTGGTAAGTGTCTTGGATTATCTCAGCCTTGGAAGGGCTCTGGCTGGAGCAGCAGTGCAGGAGCTGGGGCTGCCTGGCTGTGGCACTGCCTGGGGCTGCAGTGTGTCCTGGCAGGGCAGGAGCTCCTCCTGGAACCCACCCAAAACCCAAGCCTTGCTTTGGCACAGCCACGGGTGAACAGAAGTTGTGCAGAGCTGCTCCTTACAACCACTGTCTCTCCACTTTACTCTTCCTTTTCCTGCAGTACCATATGGAAGTAAGGAAATTACTTTGCTCTCTAAAGAAAGAAAGAAGAAACAAGTATTTTTATGTAGCAAAAATTTTTGTATTAATATGTATTTTGAAGACCTACACAGCACAGAGCAGATCTGCTTCAGTATCTCATCTCTGCTGTATGAAGCAATCAAGAAGCCAATCCTACACCTATATCCAGGCAGCTGATAAATCTCCTATTATTAACTTCACCTTTTTTGATTTTTTTTTTTTTTTACATGCAGAATTCTGGCATCCAAACACGTCATCTGCCTTTATTGAGTTTGACATACTGCAATTTCTCTCAAAATTAAGGCTTTGGAATCCCTGTTCACATACCAGGTTTCAACAAAAGGCTTCATAAAACAGCTGGCTTTAAAAGCTGAATGATTGTCAGATGAGAAATGATTTGTACTTGAAACAGTCATAGAAGGTGAAGTTAGTAGTAACTAATTTTCTGGTTATGCCAAAAAATATTTCTGCAAATCACTGAAATCAAAAAAATCTAGCATTTAATCTTTATTCACATTACTGAGACTGGTTTTTCTGTCAAATAACTGCTGGATACTATTGCAAACAAAAGGCTTGCTTTTTAAAACAGCTTTAAAAAAAAGCACAAATTCCTTGTATTTGAAAAACCATGTTTCCTGTCTTTCTTGTGCCTCTGTATATCATCTTTGCAGATGCTGAATTTTAGTGAGGTATAAATAGATAACTTAGTTAACAAGTATACAAAAGGCTAAATTAACTTTTAAATCTAGTACATTTTAATTTCATTTTTCTATGTCATTACTGAGAAACCAAAATGATGAAAATGCAGTGGATGTTCTGTGGGTTAGGCATGGCTATAGGTGACAGGTCTGAAACTGGTTGTAGGTAGGAGGTGCTACTGAGCAGGATGCTAGTATTAATCTTGGTCCTAAAATAAGTCAGGGTTTTTTATGAGCAGTCTGAAAGAAAATGTAAATAGGGAGAGCAGGATATTTGAAAGCAGAGATATGCACTGGCTATACTGGAAAAAAAATATGAAGGAAATACATTTTATTTATACTGTACAGCTGTAAACTGGGAATAAAAGATTTTAGGCCAGGGTTGCCTGATTGCACTGAGAGACGTGAAGCTGCTGAAAAGCCTGTGGAAGGCATGAGCACATCATTATCGTGAGTTGTGGCTCATGACAGCAGAGGGCAGTGCCTGGCCTCCAGGTGTGCAGGATGTGCTGCAGCAGTGCAAGGGTTGTTCTGCTTTGTCCCAGTGTGGAACACTGTGCTGTCTTTGCAGAGCAGCCCAGGGCTGCTGCTGACAGGTCACAGGTGGCACTGGGGGTTACAGGTTTGGGCAGCTTCGTTTCCAGAGAAGGTCAGAGAGCTCCTTTTATTCATATTTGTATTTGAAAGTAGCAAAGTAGAAGCAGAAGTGCTGCTGAAGTATGGGGGAAAGCGATGAGTAAGGCAGCGTTGATGGCTGTCGTGGTTGCCATGGCAATCCCTTGGCCACCGGTTGGGATGCCATCCCTGTTTATGTAACCATCACAGAACATATGCCACCACCACTAATTAAGCCAAGGCTGAGCCCAGAACTTTGAAATATCTGCCCCACCTCTTTTTTCCGTGTGAATTGCCGGGTTAAGCACTACAGAGTGTGGAGCCTCCTGTGGGACCGTCCTGGGGAGCCCTGGCAGGGCCTTCCCTTCCCGGGCTGTGTCCTGAGCAGTTCCCCCCGCGGGGAACCCCCTGGTGTCCCCGGGCCGCTCTGACACCCCCCGGGAGCTGGGAGGCAGCAGGGCAGAGCTTCGCTGCTGCTGCTGCGGCTGTTGGCTCACACTGGTTCCCGTTATAAACAATTTACTTCCAAATGCCACAATGGTGCACAGGGCAGGAATAAACCTCCCTCAAGACCCTCCAAGAGAGCTGGTAATAGCAGCCTGTCCCATTTCACTCGGAATGGCGGTGACAAAAGGTAATTGCCCTGGGCTTGGTGTGGTTTCTGGTGTGGGCTTGTAGCAGCCCAGTTTGCTAATAAAGTATTCTGTCATAAAAATCTCGTTTGAAAGGCAAGGAATTCAGATGAGTGTGGTTCTGCTTTTACCTTCAGACCCCTGTGGACTGGTATTGAGTCATCTCAGCAGTAGAAGAGTAGAAAATTTACATTGTGTTTTTTTCTGGCTACAAAAGGCTTCTCATTCTCAGGATTCTGTCAAGCACAAGTAGCAAAATTTGTGTCTGGCAATCAGTTCCTTTAAGAAAACATTTCTATCTGTAAAGAAGAAGCAAAGAAAGAGAATTGAATGTTGGTGGTGATTTTCTTTCTCTTTCCTTTGCTAGAGCTCGTTTGCCGTGCTTCAGCTTTGTTTCCTGCTGTGTGGCACCCCAGGAGCGAGAGCTGGCCGGGCTGGAGCGTTCCCAGGTGGGATGGGAGCCCCTCGGTGAGCGCCGGGAGCAGCTCCCGGGAAGGCAGGCCGGGATCAGCCCCGGCTC